AAAAAAATAAAATGGAGTACTATTCAGCCATAAAGAGCAAGAAACTAGAGACATTTATACTAAATGTATGCACATTGAGGCCATACTCTTCCCCTAGGAGCTTGGGCTGGCAGCGGGGGAGCTTCTTTCCGGGTTCTCAAGGCCATACTCTTAAGTGAAATAGGACATACATGCTCCCTGGCATGAAAAACTAAAAGTGTAAATAAGGATCAAAATGTATAATATTATGAAATAGGAAGAAAAGGTCCAGAGGAGTAGTGGAAGTGAGAGGGGTAGGGGAAAAGAAAGAAGGGAAAAGAAAAAATATGAGAAAAGTAAAAAAATGAAACAATCTTTGTAAATAGGGAAGGGTGGAGGGGGTGAAGGGAGAGCAGGAGAATGGGGAAAAAATAAGAACCAAGATACATTGTGTAAAGGTACAAGATCTCAATGATGAATGTAACTGTATTGCATATCTAAAATGTACCAATAAACTTAATGAAAAAAAAAAGAATTCTATGAGCTACACCCACAGCCATTTTTAAAAATGTTTTTGAGACAGGGTCTTGCTAAGTTGTCCAAGCTGTTCTCAAATTTACTATCCTCCTTCCTCTACTCTCAAATAGCTGAGATTACATGTGTGCACCACCATGCTTGGTTTTGTGAAACCTTTAATAAATTCTCCTATATAACTTATCCTAGCTTATTAGCTTCATGGAACACAGCCAGACAACTAATTACCACATTTCCAGTACCTGTTGGAAGAGTTGAACTACAGAATGTTGCTTCAGTGTGACACTGAGAGATTTATTATCAGAAATATATGTGTGTTATATGTATACATAGAGTTGATTGATTGCTATATTAACACTAACAATTCGATTCTTTAATACCTAAACTTCATTATCACCAATATCAACTTGTTTACATATAAATATTCCAATATATAAATATTGGAATGCATATTTATTTATATATAACCTATACTGTATATACATATATAGAGTTGATTGATAATCATGTAAACCAATCATCATCAGCAGAGCTTCAGCTAATCACAGTCATCCAAGAACCAGATCTTTCCTAAATATTACAAATGCCCAGTGATAGCCCATCAAGTACTTTCTCTACTTCCATGTCCAGACTTTGGGAGTTCACTGTTGCTGTGAAATCTGTGAACCGCCTCTGGTTCTGAGTGCTGCCTAATGTCCATGCAATGGCATGAGCAGAAGACACCTTGCAGTGGGAAGAGGACATGAAGGAAGTGGGGGGGGTGACATAGCTCCTGCTGGTGTGTGAGGACTATGAACTTTGTTGCCTCTATGCTCAGTGGCACCATACTGAGGTCCTCCATGAAGAGGTCAAAATTTAAATATACCTTGTTGTTGGTGGTGTTGTCTCCCTTCTCTCTTTTTAAATTTCACTCTCTATACTTCCAGGTACCTGAACTGCAAGTTCTATAAATTCCACCTTTTAGAAGACAGTAGATAATACATGATCTTTATCTGTTTCTCTCTCAGTGGAAGGCATTTCTACAGCAAGAGCCTCTCAGATTTTACTGAAGAAAAGAGAACTGACTTTCTCATATAGTTATTCACTGATATGGTGTGAGTGTGGTTTATTCTCCAAGGGCTCATGTGTGGGAAGGTTGCTACCCAGTCCAATGATATTGGGAAGAACCCTGACTTTTAAGAGATAAGACCTATGGGGTTGGTTGGGTCACTGTGGGTGCTGTGTCGAGAAGTGATTCAGGCAGCTTTGTGAGATCCCGAGTTCTTGAGAAATTGGTTGCTGTAAGAGCCAGCCTGACCACTGAATTGCTTGTTTCAGACTTTCTGTCTGGCAACATGATCTCTCCTTCTTGCGTACTCTTTTGTCCTGAGGTCCTTGCCACAGCCAAGCTGATACTGGTGCTATCCCCTTGAACTTCTAGAACTGTGAACCACTTCTTTCTTTCCTTGTTTGGACTATGAAATCCTGGAAAGCAGAAGCTGATTTATATTTTGTAGCAATTTTATGCCTTATACAGCAGTCAAATGTGAACTAGGTAAAGAACTTTTCTCAGTGCGTCAACCAATTCACACAATAGTGTGGAGAATAGGAAAAGTACTCAGTATGGTGAGACATGTACCCAAAAGAATAAAAATAGTTTCTGCCCTTGGGGAGTCAGAAGGATTAAATTAATACACCTAAAAAAGCTTAGGAAATATGTTATCACTGTCTGGATCTATCTATAAAACTGTTCATAGAGATTAGAGGCCTATATGCCCTGTAATTGGTAGGGAAGTTCTAGTAGGACAGGTAAAACTTGATGTGGCTCTTTGTGAAGGGGTTGGCTTCAAATAAGCAGTGGGAATATAAATTTAACATCTGGACTGGCAGTGCTAACTTCTAGAGAATGAAGGATTAACCCAGTATAACATGGTAGAAAGAGCAGGAGCATTCGGGTTGGTGGGAACTGGGAAGGGAAGAACTGTGGGAGAGGTAGGAAAAGATGACATGGACCCTATGCACATGCATCAGACACACATTTCTTTCTGTCAGACACTGGGTAAGGAAAATACTTTATTCCAGCTTTCCCCTGCTTTGAAATTCATGTTCCTTCTCAGGGCTCTGTCACCCATCAGGTGCCACAGACTTAGTAGGGCCTTGGGATTCCCCAAACTGCAGACATAGGTGATGAATTTGGGAGACAGTCTGGAGAAAGAGAGTCACAGGAACAGATTTTTCAGTAACATTCATTTCCTGTTGTCCCATCAATATGATACAACTGATAGCACATAAGAAGAAACGTCCCTCTTCTCGCTAAAGAAAAGAGATAGGGTGGGATGTACCTAAGCAAAAGGCTATATTTTAAGTGAAAATGCTTGCAATATGGGTAACTATTTTCCTATAGGTGGAAAATGAAACAAAATTTTGAAATAATTCTAAAAGGAATAACTCCATGAATAAAGTCATGAAAAAGCAGTACTTTTTTCCAACAGTTTTTTTTTAAGGGAAAGAAAACCTCATTCTGTGTTAATAATGTAACAAAATCTTAATTAGGTTATTTATAGTGACTTCATGTATTGTCCTGTTTTAAAGATTCACTTATTAATTCTATTTTTGCAGTTACTGGAATTTAAAAGATCATAACTCACAAAAAGTATTCTTCAGAGGGTTTTAGATTGACATGCCCATCGTATCCAACAAAAAATTATTAATACTCACTTAACAGTATTAACAGTGTTTGGCATGTAGTAGATGCCTCATAAATATTTGTTCACCTCAATTAGCAGGAGACTTCAATATGTTTTGCTCCAGACTCTCAAATGCCAGGCCTAGAAACTGTTTTGTTTGTAGCAGCAGTGATAAAATATATTCATAACAATCTATTCTCCTCTACTAGATTGTAAATTCACAAGAGCAACAATTTTGCCTGTATTGTTTGTTGTCTGGTATACATCAGGCTCTCAATGAGTATTTATTAAATTAATTCACATATAAAACTGACCTACTTAAGGGCTAGGGATTTAGCTCAGTGGTTCTGCTGTCTGCCTTGCAAGCGCAAGTTCCCGAGTTCAATCCCTGGTACCAAAAAAACAAAACAAAACAAACAGACAAACAAACAAAAAAACTGATCCACTTAAAATTTATGTGTGAGAGATTCTTAGTAATTTATATTTACAAACTTACAAATTTACCTCCCAAAATTCATGTGTGTGTGTGTGTGTGTGTGTGTGTGTGTGTGTGGAGTAGTGCAAGGAACTGAACCCAGACCCAGGGTCTCATGATGCTAGGCAAGCACTCTCTCAATGAGATACATCCCCCACCCACAGTACTCATAGTTTTGGTAGGAGACCTCTTTTTATTATCTTGCTTTAAAACTACTCAAAATGTTTTGACCACCACAAGTAGACAGAATTGGACTGTATCAGATTCTGAATGGATTGGACATAATTTAGAACTTTCAGGAATTAGATGTCATATCAATACTCATTTTTTTTTCATTTACTGACTACTGAAAACTTGGTTTCTGAAAAGTTCTGAAGAAGTTCCAAATTAAAAGCAAATATAGCATTAGCTCTGATTGGGTAATACTCTTACTCAGGCCAAATTTCATAAGAGAAAATGCTATGCTTTATTACAATATGAAAATCTTACTTAAGAGCTATTGAATACAACAGTTTGAGACAAAAATAAACATAATAGAGTGTGTTTTTCTAGAAATGCTCCATCATAACTCTTATATCTGAAAAACTTTCATTGATTCTTCATTATTTGCATCAGCTTGGAAACTTTTTACACTTTTACATAATTCTTTCAGAGAAAGTTCTTGGGAAACTTTAGTGTTTACTGTGAAAGGGAGCTGCTCTGGCAAAAAGCCGGGGTGAGTGAGAAGCTTACGGAACCTGGTGCCCACACTTATGGCCAGAAAGAGCTTGTTTCTAAGTACAGGCTTCCACTAACTGGGCTGAATGGTTGCCCTCCATGCTTGAGGATCCTTTCCTATAAAATGGAAAACATTCCCCGCCTTGTGGAACTGTCAGAATGAAAGGAGATGATTACTGGAAGTGTCCATTTGAAAAGCTGAGATGCAATAAGAAGTCACTGAGTAGCATTGTGGCAAAAAATGTTGGTGCCCTTGGCCACTCTCTGCAGATAGCTTGTGACCACTTTAGTACACTTCACCCACCCTCCACCTTGCACTGGCTTCAAGAGAGACCAAGGAGGAGCCCCAAGGTGCTTGAATGTAATTTACATTGATGAAATTTACCTCACCAACTCTTGTCCCAGGTCCAAAAACATGTGAGGCTCTCCTCTCCCTTCCTGGTGCCCCATGCAAGTATCAAGGAGGAGCCACCCCCTGGAACTGTCTGAGAAACCATCTCCCATATTTGGCTTCCTACCCTTTCCTTTCCTGGTGTCTTGCTCCCTTCTAGGCCTTCTGAGATGTGCTTCTTTAGCAACGCATTAAAACATAAATACTCTTCTCAGGGTCTGCCTCTAGGAATCCAGCCCAACTTCAAGTCAAGCTATGGTTGTTAGCATCATACACAATGTACTCAATAATAAGCTTAGCCTCATTTTCAGACACTTACCCCATAACATCCTCTCCATATCCTTTCTAATTAACCCAAAGAGGCACTGTGGAACCTCTAGCATATGATGAATGTGTTGTTCTTCTTTCTGTTTAGAATGAATTTTCCTGTAAGAGACACCAACTGTCTTTCAGAACACAATCCCATTCCTTGGTGACCTGCCCTGAAATGCCAGCAGAAACCATCATTCTCTCTCTTAACTTTCATCCATGACTCTTCTATAGACACTACATACAGTGCTAGTGAGTATGTCTTGGAACTCTTTGAGGTAGGTGACTCTGTTCTGTCTTTCTATTTCACTCAGCTCCCCTCTGGTCATACTCCAACCTGCCCTCACCTGTGTCACATACATATCAAAAATCCTTTAACCGCTGAGGACCAGAGAAGCTTTGGAATTTGGAACTTTCCAAAGATTAAAGCAGCTATATTACAATCCATGTACCACAGGTAGTAAAGGCCATATATACCACTCTTCATAGGCTGTGGAATAGCCTGTACAAACCATAGTATTTCATAGATTCTTCAATGACAAAATGAACATTCACATTACATGGCATGAATGAAAAATGCACATACTTTTGTATCCATTTGGGTCAAATTTTGCCACTAAATAAATTCAGGCTTTTTAGAGATTTTTTGGCTTTCACATTTATAGTTAAGAGGTTGCAGATCTTTTAATAGAAGCCCGACATGTGTTTATTGAGCTGGGTTCAAGAAAACATGCCTTCATTGCTGTTCTCATTAAATCTTCTTTCCACTTAAAAAAACAACTTTTTTAAAGAAACTGGATACAGCTGCTTCTTCCACCAAGTCAAGATGAACTCCTGAATCACCAGATTCCCTCACCCAATTCCTGCAAACACAAATTTTTCTATTTGCTATTATTGCTCTAAGTGCCAGACCTGTGAAGCAAGATCTTCTGCAACAATGCACAAAAATTGCAGAGCCTGGAATAGTATGACATGGACTACCAAACCTGCATCCAGCAGTCACTTAAATATCGTGTCTTTGTTTCCATTTGCACCTGGCTAATAATAATATCTCATGCACGGAAATTAAATCTTCTAAAGAGATGGAATCATATTAAATCACTAGAAGCATGTTTGAGGGTACCTGATTCAACACTTTCACTTTACAGATGATAAAACCCAGGGTCAGAGAGGTTTGCTGGCTTTCATGAGTTCACACAGCAGGTCAGTGGCAAAGCTGATTCTAGAATCCAGCTTTCAAGGATGAGTCGTTGATTTCCTACTCTATGTTGTATCAATGGAATAGGAGTTCTTTTGATCCTGATTCTTAATAACATCCTGCTTTTCTAAAGGGACAGTTAGTCTGTTCTGTTCTCTGAACATCTGCATTGCATTATGTGCTTCCAAGTTTTACACAATAAGACTTCATTTAAACAATCAACATTTAAACATCAAGGGACAACCTACAGAATGGAAACAAAAATTGCCATCTATTCCTAAAATCTAGAATATATAAAGAACTCAAAGATATTGGACAGCCCTCATTAAAAGATCCAATTAAAAAAATGGATAAGTGAAGTGAATAGACACTTCTCAGAAGAAGTACAAATGCCCAATAAACATGAGAAAAATGTTCAATATCTCTAGCAATTAGAAAAATGCAAATTAAACAACGCTAAAATTTTATCCTACACTGGAAAGAATGGTTATCATAAAGAAGTCAAATAACAAATGCGGGATGGCTGTAGTGAAAATATTGTTGATGGGAATGTAAACCAGTGCAATCATTGTGGAAATCAGTACAGAGATTTTTCGAAGGACGAAAACTAGAAATTTCAATTGATTTAGCTATTCTTCTAGGTGTCTTCCCAAAAGAGCTAAAAATGCGATATTACAGTAATACATAGATACCAATATTTATAGCAGCACAATTCACAATAGCTAAATACTGGAAGCAGCTTATATGTCCATCAACAGAGGAATGGATAAAATGTGGTTTCTATACATAATGAAATACTACTCAGGTATAAAGGATAAATTTGAGATATTTGTAGGTAAATGGATACATCTAGAAAATGTAATATTAAGTGAAATAAGCAGACACATGATATGACATCTCTCAATTGAGTAAGGAAAGAGCAAATTAAAGGATTGATAGATGGAAACAGGGAGATTGATCTTTTTTAAATGGGAACGGGTCTAAGAGACTAAGGTTGAAGGGAGGAGGAGAGAGGAATAGAAAGCAAAGAAATTTAAGATGGGTCATTCACATATGCCAAACACAATGAATGTAAACATTATACTTCGCCGGTTCATCCAGAGCCCCACTCCATCCAGCCCACGCCACCCACACCAGCGGGGACCAGCCGGATGGTGAGGACCCCCCACCACTGGCCACAACCATGACAGCAATCCACTTCCCGCCTCTGGCCTCCTGGCTATACAGCTACCTGATTCCACACTACAAAGACACAGGGGACACCAGACCATGGTACTTTGTAAGTTGGAGGGATCATCACCTCCCATTGGAATATGGACTATCTTCACAGGAAGGGCATCTGGAACCAACAGTACAACCTTGCAGAGTTCAACCCTACAGGAGGACAGGGAGCTCAACTTGGGACATGCTGCCAGAAATCTGCCTGAATCCCATGGGTCTGTAACTGGCTTGCTGAGACTCACTGACTTATATCTGCACACTGCTGCTCATGCTGTCTATTATGACAGCAGAGACATATCCTGAAGGAGGCCCTTCACTCTCATTTTTATTTTTTATTTCCAAAATTATTATTATTGGGTTTTTTCGCTCTTAGTTTTAATTTTATTCTACTCTTTTCAATTTTTTACTTTTCTCTTCTTTTTTCCCCTTCTTTTCTCTTTCCTTTCTCTCTCACTCACTCTCTTGCTGTTCCACATTGTTCTCCATCTCCCTTTTTGTTACTGTTCTGCTCCTAATTCATATTTCTTCTTTATCTTTCTTTTCTTCTCTTTCTTTCTCTTGCCTGTGCCCTCTGGCCTCACTGCTAACCTTTCCCTATCCTTCTACTTACCTATCCCTCCCTCCCCAACTCCTAACTCCACATCACAAAGGGTAAAGTTGGTATATTGAAGAGTTTATTCACTATAAACATATGTTGGGTTGGTCTTCAATTTTGATTTAATTCACACAGTTAAAGGTAATAGATTAATAACTTTCACAAATTGTCATTTTCTAAGGTGTACTTGATGCAATGGTGTTGCTGATCATATCACTTGGGCTAAGGTGTTCTGATTGATCTAGTTGGTTGTCCTTCTTGGTATAATGAAAATGAAATAGCCTCAGAGTCATTGGAGACTCAAAACTGAAAAAGCACCTATATTTGGAAGACACCTCTGAGGAGCAATCTCATAAAGGCTCTAATTACAAGCAACAAAGATACTTACAATAAGCAATTTTGAAGTATCAACCCAAGAATTAAACCAAGGACAGTACCAAAAACAAAAATGAGAAGACATTTAAGCAAGGCACAAAATCAGACTTCCACCCCACCAAGGGTAAATTCTGGGGGAAAGGAAGTGGAAAAGTCTGATAATCAACCACTTGGACACCCTGAACTGATAGTACAGGAAATAACAAAACAGGTAAATGAGGCTCTAGAAAAATTCAAAGCAGAAATAATCTCTCGGATATCTACAGAGATGGTGAGCAGAGTGAAAGACATGATTAAAAGCTCTAGAACAGAAACAGATTAAAAAAAAATAGATGAGCTCAGAAACATTTTGGAAACCATGAATACCCAAGAAAGAAATAGAAACCATGATTGCCTAATATAAGAAAGAAATGGAATCCATGAAACAGATATGCAGGAGACTAAAAATTCCATTGAAAGCATGCAGAGCAGATTAAGGGAATCTGAAGATAGAATATCATATATAGAAGACAGGATTGCTGTGAAGGACCATGAAAACAGAGATTTCTTAAAAATAGTAAGGGACCATGAGAAATCAATCCAGCAGCAGCTAGATGATGCAAAGAAGAATAACATAAGACTGATAGGAGTCCACATAAAAACAGGAGAAAGTACAATTGACACACACACAAAAATGTTCACAGAAGCAATAGTTGAAAATTTCCCAGACAGAAGTAGAGAATTGAACATACAGATAAGTGAGGCAGGGCTGGGGATTTAGCCCAGTGGTTCCGCCGTTTGCCTCGCAAGTGCAAGGACCTGAGTTCGATCTCTGGTACCAAAAAAACCCCAAAACAAAACAGATAAGTGAGGCATATAGAACTCCAACTAGCCATGATCAAAAAAAATCTACACCTAGACATATGATAGTCAAGATCTCAGAAACCCAACAGAAGAAAAAAATCCTACAAGCAGTTAGAGAAAAGAAACAAAAAGCCTACAAAGGAAGGCCCATCAGAATCACAGCAGACTTCTCAACATAAACCCTCAAATCAAGGAGAGCCTGGAGTGAAGCATTTCAAGCCTTAAAAGAAAATAACTTCCAACCTAGACTGTTGTATCCTACAAAATTATCTTTCAAAATTGGTAGGGAAATTAGATACTTCCACGACAAAGAACACCTGAGAAATTTCATGCACACCAAACCAGCACTCCATGCAATTCTAAACAATATCCCAGAAAAAAGCAATGAAGGTCACAACTCCATGAGGCCCAACAGAGGGAAGCCATCAGGCAAGGTAAGAAGCTAAAGAGAAAGGGGGAAAAATAAGAAATAGAGGAGCCAA